AATGTGACGATTAAACTTCAAAAGGCTATGATTTCATTAAATAAATACAAGCGCTGCACATTCAAAGTCCGGTGCTGCGCTGCTTAGTGTTCTGCTGTTACCGGGGAAACCGTTATATTTCTACCAAACGCTCCACCTGCTGTCAGAGAATGAATGAGCGATGACTAGACATAATCATTTCATGACTCTAGACACTTCTTTGTGAAGACAGTAGCATAATACAGTGAAATAATATGTTCTTTAGCCATATAAATACAGTTGCCATGTGCGTCGGTAAAATTTACCCGCTGTCGCTTTTAGGTATACAGCGACCTCTGGCGGTTCTAGTGTTAAATGTGAACTGGTGGATCGATAAGAAGACGATGCATTATAAAAATCTAAACATAGGGGCGATATGTATGGTCTGCGATAATATCTAACAATATGTAATTGTTGTTTTAACGATGTGCAATTTGATATTATCGAGTATATCGTGAAAAGCAAACAAAACACCTACAGATTGCGCGCATACATTGCATGATGAAGTCTAGCAAGTTAGACTAGTGCGCGTGCGCATTTATAGTGTGTTCTTTCACTGCATGAATCAGTCTATTAAAATGCATTTAGAATTACATAATTCAAGATATGAGATAGTACATTTTGTTGATACTGATTTCATTTGCTTGGTAACAGCCCAAATGCAAGAATTTGACTCAAAAGATGGTGCACACTTTTAGAAAAAATGGCTTAAAGATAAAAATGCCCATAAAACTTGTTGGAAATAATTAATTTCTATCACTGCTGTGAACTGACCACACAGAATATGAAGAATATAAAAAAATTCAGGAGTCAGCTGTATAAGATATCAGCACAATAACACACTCAGCAAAATATTGCCTAATTATCGTTATTGATAAAATCCCAGAAAATTATTGAGATATCATTTTTTGTTAATATCGCACACCCCTAATTTGTTATTTTATTGATATAATAATTTATTGATAATAATTGTTTAAATTAATATAATAGTTAATACTTTTGACTCATCTATTTTCTTAAAAATGGTTTAAAGGCTGAAATGTAAAGTTTATCATTTTATAAATCTTTGTTTTTGTGAAAACTTGTATCTAAACCAAGTTATGCTTTTTACAGTAATTTTACAGTTTAATATGGTACTAAAGACATTGTCCTACCCCGCTCATATGGTATTAATTTTATTTGTGCAGGTCTTAAAAAGTTCTTAAATTTGAGCTTAAAAATCATGCAGAAACCCTGTAAGGAACTGGTTTTAAGAGGAATCAGAACAAGTGTTGTTATATTATATTCCCATTTCTACTTTAAACTCAGCTGTGTTGTGCTGCAGGGTGAGTTTGGTGTGTACCTGGTATCTGACGGTTCCAGCAGACCTTACCGCTGCAAGATCAAGGCACCTGGCTTTGCCCACTTGGTAATTAATTCATTTTACTATTATGATTTAGTTATTGTTAATGTATTCACCAATTATAAAATAAGCTTTATAAGTGCATAAATATATAAAAAGAGCATACACTACCATTCAGAAATTTTAGGTCAGTAAGGTGTGTTTTTGAAAGAAGATTCTTACGGTCAGCAAGGCTGCATATATTTGATCAAAAATACAGTAGAAACAATGATATTGTAAAAATGTATTTTAAAATGTAATTTATTCCTGTGATGGCAAAGCAGTCTTTATTGTTTACATGATACTTCAGAAATCATTCTAATACTCTTTAATACTATTCTTGATGCTCAAGAAGCATTTCCTATAATTATCAATGTTGAAAACAGTTGTGCTGCGTAATATTTTTGTGGAAACCACGATACATTTTTTTTCAGGATTCTTAGATGAATGCAAAATGCAAACAAAAAAACAAAAGCATTTATTTTAAATATAATTTTTTGAACATTATAAATATCATGAGTGTCATTCTTGATCGTTTTAATGCTAAATAAAGTAAGTATCCATTTCTTTTAAAAAAAGAAAATCTACAACTTTTGAACGGTAGTGTATGTAGAACAGCTGCAAATACTTCAGGCTTTATCTTTGACCTTTTCCTGTTTGTGTTGTGATGTTGCTCAATGATGTGGTCTGTTTTGTCCTGTTTTTAGGCTGGTTTAGATCAAATGTCTAAAGGACACATGCTTGCTGACGTGGTGGCAATCATCGGTAAGTTTCTCTCTCATTGATACACTTCCAAGTTCTGTCTGTTTTGTAGATTTGCATATCACAGCAATGAACTGCACATTTGTTTGAAGTATTACATTTAAATAAGCCAGTAGCACTATTATATCATAAAATCTTCTCTGTTTTCACTAATTCCCTGTTCTTCTAACTTGTACTGTTCTAAACAATGAATGAAGCTTAGTATTGTTAACACTTCTCATATTATTGCCTTCTTAAGGTGAATCGCAGTTTGTATTCCTCATTTGTAAGTTACTTTGGATAAGAGTATGCTAAATGAATAAATATAATTTGATTTCATTGTATTAAAAAAATAATCACATTTTGTTGCTTTGCAGCCTGAAATGAATGTCCGTCTTCATTTCAGGCTGCAAAGCAGCAAAATGTGATTATTTTAAAGGGGGGTGATTCTTTTCTATACCCACTGTAAATAGTGTTTTCTAGTAAAACATACTCCAATAATCTGCTTTATTTATAATTTATAAAAATATCTTTTACAGTTTATATAATCTTTAATGAATCATTAGTTAATGAACATTTTATATTGTTACAAATGGCATGAAACCTTCATTCATATATTTTCATATTCATGTTTGAATATCTGTTCTGATCTGATTTATATCTACCATCTGCTCTGTGATTGATAGTTTATTCTTTTTTATGTGTTTTTCTAGTGCTGTCAAACGATTAATCGCTATTAATCGCATCCAATACATAAACAAAAACGTTTATTTTGGATGCGATTAATCGCTGCACTAGTTTTTTCCCTCCTTGAACATGAGCTCCATGTTCTATATTTTACCATATGAGTCATAAAAGTCTGATGTATCAAATATGATACTCAGCAAAAACACATATGCAGATTTATTATTATTATTATTATTAATAATAGATTGTCTAAAGGGTCAATTAACTCTTCCATTTCAAAACATTTTTATTTTTCAGACTATTATTTTATTTTGTCAGGCTTTACAGGGTTAATGCTGTGTGAAAATCTCTGAAAATTAATCTGACATGGGAGAAAATATATCTTAAAAAAATTAAAAAAAATTAGTGTTTTATTAGCAATTTGATGTTGCCCTGAGCCTCAACCTGTTGTCTTTTTCCACAGGTACTCAGGACATCGTGTTTGGTGAAGTGGACCGTTAAGGACACCAGTGTCTGATCATGATTCTGTCTTTGAGATCCTTTCTAGTGATGTTATGACAGAAGTTACTCTCATTTCTCTATTTAAATGCTTATGAAACCGAATAAATATTTTAAAACCTGGAAAAACCTCAAATTCTGTTTATTTAACATTACAAGAGCTGGTCGTAAAAGTGCGAACTTGCACGTAGATTTCATGCAGACAATTTTTTAATTTATATATATATATTAATATATTAACTATGCCGAATCAGCATTTCCAAGGATCAGCAGTCTAAAGCAGATCACATGATTTTCGGCCCATTTTCCTCTTCGTCACTCAGGGTGGGGGTGGTTTAAACTTCAGATCTGACATATTTTCACCACAACTTCCCTCTTGTCTGCCTCTGATGTGCCGTTTTACATCTGTTCACTGAAAGTCGTCTTTGGAGGTGTGCATCCCGTGAGGTTGTACGCAGAAGCAAAGCCAAGTTTTTATGATGATGATGATGATGAAGGTGGGGTTGCCCTTCTCTCTTCTTTCTATTTGGCTCAGCTTCGGCAGTGCTGGTAAGTGTTAAATGTTAGCGCTCTTTATCTCAAGCGAACGCTGTGTTTTGCGTGCTGTTACGTTGATCAGTGGAAATTTATCTTTTCATTTATTTATTTAACATTTTATTTATTTTTCGTTTTCAGTAGTTATTTTGTCTGCTAATCGTGAAGATTAACACATTATGCGTCCTCAGAACTTTGTTTTTGTTCATAAATTATGAAATAATGTCACTAGGAATGTGCACTCTGATCACATCTTGAATATGGAAGTATGCCGGGATTTTATAAAAGGTTTTTATTATGTATTTTGAAAAAGCTTATAAAATGAAGCAAGGGATGTTTAAAAATCCAATGCGCATCTATGTAAATGTTATAATCCAGCAATCATAAAAGTCTGAAGTGAGCGCCTTGGTTAGTCAACATCTATATAAAGTTCACTTTTCACATTTCTTGTTTTCACAGTCCTTATATCTGAACTTTGATGTTGGAAACTTTGTTGCCAGGAAGTAGCCTCTTCTCATTCTGTCAAAGCTTAAACCACACAATAGGACTCCATAGTACAATTACAACTACTTAACCAAAGTTTGCAAACAGATGAAATGCACAAGTAACATTTTTCACCATATTCACATTGACTGGTGCATGTGAAACCAGCGCTACTTCTTAAATTTAGGTTGTGGCTATATGAGTTTTGCTGGTCCACTTCTCTTCTGCATCTCTGTAAATGAGGATGCTATATACATTGAACTAAACAGGGTTTAAGGTTTTATGAGCGTTTGTAGTGTTTTCTATTCTTTATTTCTTTAAAAATTATAAATTTCTTTATTTCTAGATAAAAATGTGGTTGAATGGACACTAAATCGAAGTTCTCTGATGCAACACGTTTTTGGCATCAAGATGAGATCATGCATTTTGATCAGCCAACAGTATTTTTGTCAACGTTGCACTAGAATGAATCCATTAAACCCCAAGCTAATAAAACAACACAATGTGTGTGTAGTTTAATACAGTCACACGTCTCTGTTTTAGATTATGCAGTGCTGTATTTTTATTTTTATATATATATATATTGTAACTGGTTTCACTGTAAGCATGCGGTCTGCAAATATATGTATGTGTGTGTGTATGTATATGTATATGTACT